CACATTCAAGAACATGTACAACCTCTGTATGATCTAACCATGCTTAACTCAGCAGTGAGTTCTGTACAACATCAGATCACTTTAAGGTAGCTCACATTCAAGAACATGTACAACCTCTGTATGATCTAACCATGCTTAACTCAGCAGTGAGTTCTGTACAACATCAGATCACTTTAGGGTAGCCCACATTCAAGAACATGTACTATCTCTGTATGATCTAACCATGCTCAACTCAGCAGTGAGTTCTGTACAACATCAGATCACTTTAAGGTAGCTCACATTCAAGAACATGTACTACCTCTGTATGATATAACCATGCTAAACTAGTTCAACCATTAACTGTATATTAACACAAATTTCTATTTCATTTCCAGAGTTATTCAACAACGGCGACTACTACGGCACTCGAGGCGTGTTTCCACAATGCGATGGGGGGCAATTTGATGTGCATCAACGCCTAGACGCAGGCTTACATATGAATGGCAACCTCATGTCAGAAAACAACTATCCCAACATCCTCCGAGAGGCAACGAACCCTAACTTCGTGAAATTACCCCAACACACAACGACGTTACATCATACACCGTTACAGAATACAACCCAAGAATCCAGTTTGTATCAGAACAATACATACTCATATCAACCCAATAATTTGCATATGAACAGTGTCGCGGCCATGTGGTGACGAGAGCTACACAGAATATGTCATAATCAATAACTCAGCTCATATATTCAAGGTCGCTCGTTAAGTGCATGTTGTATAGCAAGAATTCAATATGTCTGGCTTGCTCACAATATTTCGGAAGTGCTTTATAGTCGGGAGGTTGTAAAGAGAAATAGCGGAAATATTTTCTCTGGTCGAGCTGTGCGAACGAAATTCAAAGTCGCATACTTAAGTGGCTACGAGCCTCGTTTTCAGGAGAAATAAAGACCTGGGGTCGGTTGTTCAAAGCTGGATTAGCGCTAATCCTCGATTAAAATTTAACCTGCTGTTTTAGTTTATGTATTTCTGTTCATTTCTGAACTCAGAAAACTCCTACTGATCCAGACAAGATTTCTGAAGAAATATTTCCAAATTTATAAACAAGTTGTTAGGAAGTTTGCTTTGAATTGTAGATTAACCAAAAATTAAGTAATTCGGCTTTTGAACAACTGGCCCCTGATCAAATGATGAGAAGCGAGAGTTTGCATGAGAGTTTTCTCAACTGTCATACCCCGGTCAAACGAGAACAAGAGTTGCATGAGAGTTGAGAAGCGAGAGTTTGCATGAGAGTTTTCTCAACTCTCATGCCCCGGTCAAACGAGAACAAGAGTTGCATGAGAGTTGATGAGAGTTGAGAAACGAGAGTTTGCATGAGAGTTTTCTCAACTTTCATGCCCTGGTCAAACGAGAACAAGAGTTGCATGAAAGTTGATGAGACTTGAGAAGCGAGAGTTTGCATGAGAGTTTTCTCAACTCTCGTGTCCCGGTCTAACGAGAACAAGAGTTGCATGAGAGTTGATGAGAGTTGAGAAGCGAAAGTTTGCATGAGAGTTTTCTCAGCTCTCGTGCTCTGGTCAAACGAGATCAGAGTTGCGAGAGAGTTGCATGAGAGTCGACTGGTTATTACCGTGCACGTAGCGAAACCTCTCATCAACTCAAAATTGGAAGCAGTTCAAAGTTAATTAGAGAGTGGTGGCCACTAATATAACAGCACTTTATGAACGAAATCGTCCTACGTTTTCATTTCTTCTCATGTAAGCGAGACCTATAAGCTTCGCTCTCCTACTAAACTATCTCATTTTTGTAATTTATTCGAACTATATGGTCTCTTGAATACACTTCCATCAAGGCATGCTTATAAAACAACTACGGGAACATCAGTCAATAATGATATAAAATGTAAATAATAGTATTTTAATGAAGAGCATTCGAAAAGATGCTCCAGAATGTACATAAGAGAGTATTCTATCTATTATTAAAGTATATATGCGCGTGGAAAATATCGAAATATTAAAAACAGAAATCGTAAAAGAACAACAGCTAGCAGACATGATGTCTCTTACTGCATCACTTCATCTTATCAATAAAAAAATCGATTTATTATTTATAAATTCTCTCCATATGTCGTGTATTTATATACATTAAAAATTTTACTCAAAGAAACTCGAATGTCGTCTCGCCTTCAGCATATTGTTGTCTGTGTTATCGCTATTCGAGGCAAACCCATACAACAAATCGACGATAAATCTGTGGCGACTAATCTATAGATTAAAAGATAATTTTGGATTTTCAATAAATTGGCTACATCAGCTGTGAATCAACATCATGGTGAATGTATTTTGCCTTCCCTATACGTTTTTTCTGTTCATTTTTTTATCCCTACACTTGGAGAAAGTTAGATTGAAAACGGTCCTGATAATCCTATCTGAGACGTTCAAAGTAAACAAATACAACTCATTATGCATGATGTATATTATCAAATACCCACGTAAAAATCTCACAACTTGTCAACAAGACGTGTTTGCAACAGGTTTGTAGCAAGCTTGTTAACAAGATGCGTTTGCAACAGGCTTGTAGCAAGCTTGTCAACAAGATGTGTTCGCAACAGGCTTGTAGCAAGTTTGTCAACAAGATGTGTTCGTAACAGGCTTGTAGCAAGCTTGTCAACAAGATGTGTTCGCAACAGGCTTGTAACAAGCTTGTCAACAAGATGCGTTTGCAACAGGCTTGTAACAAGCTTGTCAACAAGATGTGTTCGCAACAGGCTTGTAACAAGCTTGTCAACAAGATGTGTTCGCAACAGGCTTGTAGCAAGCTTGTTAACAAGTTGTAACAATGCTGTTATTTTATCAAGTTGCTACAAGGTTGTAACTCACAACTTGTCGACAAATTGTTGAATTGCAAGACGATAACAAGTTGTTGAAACAACTTGTAACAAGTCTGGTGAGCTCAACAACTTTGTAGCCAGTTGGTAACAAGCCGTTGACAGCTTGTCACCAAGCTGGGAACAAGCAGTGCGAACACATCCTGTTGACAAGTTGTTGGAACAGCATTGCTACAAGTCTGCTGCAGGTTTGTTACAACTTGTGCGTTTTTACGTGTGTACTGCACACTTAAAACAAACAAGTTGTTACGGCCTGTAACAGAGTTGCTCCAAGGTTGTTTCAACAATCTGACACATTATCTTGTGTTTGTACTGCTTGTCAACCTGGGCCTACCCCCCCCCCCTCCCCTAATACAGCTAATGCTATTTATAATGCGAATTCGCATCCTAACCCACCAAGTCAACATTCCCTGTCGGAGGGCACCCAAAAAAAACTTGGACTGTCGGCAGAGCGATAACAGACTCTTTTCATACGAATGTCTTAAGTCCCAGCCACAGCATACTAACCATACAGAGATCTCACCTCGCGAAAAAAGGTAGTTTTTACTGCGCATTTCTGACGGCCATGTTCTTAGCAAGTGCCCTTAAGAGAGGCGTTCACCCCCCTGAAACATTAAATTTCAATATATTCTCAGGGGGTTGGCCTCTCTTTAGGGCACGTGCTAAAATTAGGGCACACACTGAAATTAATAAGAAGTGAGACATCTGCACGGTATTTACTTTGTGTCCTGCTTATAAAGTTCCCTTGATTGAGAGCAATATTGCAAAATTATAATAAGACAAGTGGTTATTGCAAGAATCGAACCCTGGTCATAAAGATGAAAGATACATGCGCTCACCACTAGCTGTGTGAACAACAAATGTGCTTGAGGAAATTCCGCTCATGATCAATCAGATCAGATGGCTGCATATTGAAGGAATTAAACCCATTAAATGTGGCTTGCTGTTGGTAATTATACTTTTTAGGCGTAGATAATGCGATGTTTACATCCTAGTCAAACAATGAGAGTTGCATGTGAAGTGAGAGTTTGTAGAACTCTCGTGCCCTGGTCAAACGAGAACACGAGTTGCACGAGAGTTGACTAGATATTACCAAGGATTGTAAAATGTTATTTAGCAATCCATGACATTACCGCGCGCGTCGCGAAATCTCTCTCATCAACCGTCATCAAAATTTGAATCTGAAAGGTAACGAGAGTCAATGAGAATTAGCGGTGAAAGGACTTGCAACTCTCATCGTCGTTTGACGAGGGTTTAATGCAGAGTTGGTTGATTTAACTAAGCGTGTGCAGTTTACTTATGCCAGCACTCGGCATGCAAGGTGATCTATCACGCGTTACATGTCTTAGAAAAGGGAACCATGACTCGCAGGGGTCGTACTGGGCGCTCCGTAAGGAGCCGTGATGTGACGGCGAGCGACGGAAGTGTCGCACTCTATGCATACTGTGCACGTGAACAATACACATGCGATGATTAAGTCACTTAGTCATGAGTGATGAATGTGCGCCGGGCAGGCGATGGGACATTATTTTAAAACAATCAAAGTTCAACTTTTTCAATGCTTTGCTATCAATTTTTCTCTATCTGACACCAGACTATTCGTAAATCATGCTACGGGGTAAATAATTTATCATTTGAATGTTTTTTCTTTCAACGGATCAATTCTAAATCTACTCAGAACCGTTCAATATTGAAAATATATTTAGGACTATATAGATTACACGCTGGTTTACACAAAGTTTCTGTGATCACAGTAGGAATTTTGCATCGGTAATGCATGCTAGGTTTTGAAGAATTTGTATGTTTGAGGAAACTGATTTAGTGTTAAAACTGAGACAGTTCTCTCATACATTTCTTACAAATCCTTCAAAACTTAGACTTTATCAATGAAAAATTCCTACTGTGATCACAGAAACTTTGATAGTGTAAACTGTGCAGCCTTATAATATATTTATGTCCAAACATGCACTAGCTACAGATACGGATTCGTTTTCGATGAACATTAACGCACTATTAAAACTATCAAGGGTATCGTTGATTAAATGTGCCAAATCTAGCACAAACCATTGATTTTTAAAAGCCATGTGAATATATAATATAATATTTATAGATGGCATGTAAATATTTATGCTTTGTTTATATTAAATATTATATGTACACCTTATGAAACTGTTACATTTCTAAGAAATCTAATTACGAGATCAGTTGTGTACATTACTCATTAGTTCAAACCATATAGCCAGCAGAAGACTGCCAATCATTCTCATTTATCTTTAAGGAACTACTGTCTCAACGTTTAGCCATGATAGTAAATGATGCACCAATACAATTTTCGAGATAATTTTTGTACAATGCTACAACCCTTAAACCTTTATACAATTATAAAAAAAATATGAGTTTAATATCTAGTCATGGAAAATTTGCCCTACACGTATTAACTGTATACTACAAGTCTTTTTGCATAGGTAAATTCTAAGTTTTGAAGGATTTGTAAGAAATGTTTGGGAAACGGACTTAATGTTAAACAATGAGTAGGTTCCCTCAAACATTCTTACAAATCCTTCAAAACTTTACCCATGCAAAATTCCTACTGTGATGACAGAAATTTTGATAGTGTCACCCAGCTCCATGTGTATATTGTCACCCCAGTGCTGTAGGCACATCAAAGCGTCGACTCGACAAAGAACTCTCAGTATGCTTCAAATGGATAAATTGTGTTGAATTTCTCGTGTCATCTCGGTGAGGGCGCTATATTCATATTCAGAGTACACTGCTCAGAATACACAAGACCTATGCAGATCAAGCTGAGAGACAGGGTTTGATTAATAGCGGTACAGGAAGAAGGGGAAACGTGCTAGGGGATATAATGGTGGCATTTGACAAAAGGATGCGGAGTTATTTATCTCACTAGTCTAAATACGGTCATGCAGTCAAATTCATTTCTTCAATTTGAAAGAATAGAAGTTTCAACCATGAATGGTTTTAATTGTGTAGTGTAAACTGTCATTGTGTAAAGTCCATGTGTAGAACCTTATGAATGGTTTTCCCTTTGTTAAAACATCAATACTCATAAATATTGCAACAACACACTGTATATATTAACATTTTACAACATTTACAGTCGATTTATGGAAGTGTGATATAGTACAGTTTACCAATTTATGGCATAAAATTCCATATTCATTTCTTATCAATTTTGACAATATTGAAATAGATCATTTTGCTACCACATAAACTGATAAGCTACCTTTTAATTTGACTTAATTAATTAACCTCATTAATTATTACTTTAAATGAAGCCTGACATTTGCGCGAATAGCTAGGTAAGCAAGTCATCAAAAGCTGCAGAAAAAGCAATCTCAGTCAAGCTACTATTTATCATATAATGTCAATAAAGTATCTTTTATACCTAACTCTTATATCAGGAATTTTCAGTTTTGATTTATCAGGAATTCTACCGCAACGTCCCCATTCATATCCTTATATAATATCCATTATTCATATCCCATCACATATAATACCATATTATCCATACCTATCCCTCCGTATCACGTCTTATCAGTTTCATTATCCACAATTCAACCGCAATATCCCTAACTATCCCTAGTATATAACATCATATTATCCATACCTATCTCTTCATATCATGTCTCTTCAATTCCATCCTAGCCACGGCTCTCCTATGTACCTCGTCAGGGCCGTCTGCCAAACGTAGAATTCTCGACAACGCCCAGAACTGAGCCAATGGGACGTCAGATGAGACACCAGCGCCACCGAACGCCTGCAAGGGAATGAAGAGATTTTAGGAGCTGTTTTACGGGATACATTGTAATTCGTACTGTTTTTTTCCGCTTTACTCCAATAAACAGATTTGAGACCATTAACCAATCACATGCGTTTAATCTGCCCGATTAACCAATCAGATGCGGTAGTGAAAGACAAATCTAAACCTCGTTGATGAGCTGTCGTGGTTTATGGCGTCTACCGGAAGAATGCAGTGCAGCCAAGGTTACCTGTATCGCTCTATCTGTGACGTTTTGTGCCATCGCTGGTGCTACTACTTTAATCATCGCAATCTCGGGCGCGGCTGCCTGAAAGTGGAAAATTACGATAAGCAAATAGAATGGATGAGGAGTAGACAACCACAGAGACAAGCAGACGGACAGGCAGACATAGTATACTCCGCTGGCACATCTATAGGATAGGGTTCCGAAAAAAAATTAGATGAGATTGTTTGGACACCTGACCCTATAGAGACGCCTGCGGAGTAAGCTAAGGCAGACACCCCAAAATTCTTACACTGTATTGTGATACTATAGACTCCAATGCGGTACTGGCAGACACTCCAAAAATCTTCTACTGTATTGCGATACTATAGACACACACCTTATTACCAACTGTATCCATAAGTTGCGCTGCTTTCAATGTCAGTAATCTAGGAAAATACCAATTAAAATACAAAACTTTTCCAATCATACAAAAAGTTTAATTTTGAAGAGACGAAAAAAACACCCTTTTAACATAACAATTCTTGTTTTGTTAACGTTTTCTTCATGTTTACACAACACGTAGCACTGTCTAACACATGGTATATTTTCATTCAATAACGGTTAATTTTTAAGTGTTTGAAACATATTTCGTATACAGTACCTTGCTTGTTCAATCTCCATACGAGATTTCGCAATATCTTCGATGATCTTGCCTTGTTCAACCAACGGCTTTCCAAACGCAACTCGAGATTTTACCTAAACCATGACATCATGAGCATTGACTTTACGTAGGGGGCAGGGGGTGTGCGTAACTGTGTGTGTGTGGGGGGCAACCTCGTTCCCAGGCTCTTTGCTCTTGGGAAGCAAAGACCCTGGTCGGAGCTGGTCACGTGACCCATTGAAAATTGATAGCCCTAGAGGGGGATGGAAAAGTCTCATATTACATGTTTCCACTTCCGCACTTCGATTGCAAGGAGTGGCCGTTCTGTACAATCATTAACAGGCTGAATCATTAATTCATCTTCAAGAATCATATATACCTCAAACTACGTGCTAAACTGGTTTCTGTTTGCTTTTAAATTATACAAACATGCTAAAATGCAGATTCTTATAGCAACAGAAAATTCAGGAAATCAAGCAACGAGAACGTATGACTGTACGCTTTGAAATATTTTTATTTTCTCGGGGTTCGCCGGTTCGGGCGTAGTTTTATTTCACGCATACGTTTCTGTTCTGGCTCTGATATTTATAATATGCTTATAATATGCCAATGAATTGTTCTGATATGGACACGGTATAAATTTTGTTAAACAGATGTCTCAAAAGCGACTGTTTATAGGTCGTAGGATTAGCGCCTTGCCGGTCTTAAACGTGACACATTTGGACACAAGCCAAATACACATTGAATGTCCATTCTATTGATTCTAAAACTGTTTATAGACATATTGCTCTAGATTTTTTTTTAAAAGGTTATCATCGTTTATATTAAACACCAGGAAGACAAAATATAACGTACAAAATTGTTCGAAATCGACAGTGCACAGCTGACATACGACAATTCAAAACTGCATGAATTTCCTTTTTTGTCTGCACGAGTACCTGTCTGT